AACATGCCCTTTCCGCATGGACCTTTAACTAAGGGGCCTCGAGGCTGTCTTCTTTTACTGCTGCCTTTCTCTGTCCCTCTTGCGCACGAAAGTATATGTGTATACGCTGCGCGGCATCGTCAAAGGGACACGCATCGGTTCAAAGTGTCGCGCAGGTATGACTGGCAAGGCGCGTCATCGTCGCAGCGAGCTGTTTGCTCAACGTCAGGCAAATGCGTTTCCTCGCTCCAAGTCCAAGTATAACGAAATTTTCAAAGTAAAAGCCAGGCAGAGAGAGAGAGAGAGCCACCTAAAAGCCCGAGCTCGAGCCGTCCGGATCGTATCGGATGTACGCGAGTGTGTATGCTGTGTAGAACGCGCAGGGCTCGGCTCGCTCGCGCGTATATACGTAGGTCGAGGGGCCGTTTGCATAGATATCGACCCGTGAGCGCGCAGGCCAGCCGAGTCTTACGGCGTGTGCTTAGGAAAGTCTTGTCGTCGCGGGGCTAAATCTTCTCTCTGGCGTGCCTCGCCCCGCTAGCAGTTTACACGAGAGCTGCGAGAGTCAAAATGTTTCCGAGGGCGCACGCAACGACGAGTCGGAGAGTCGAGCACGGGAGTAGTCGCTTAGGACGAAATAAAAAGCTCTCGTGCTCGGGGACCGATAAGTTTACTACTACGACTGTGCGTGTGTGCGCGATAGCGAGGAGTGCCTTGGGCGCGACCAACACATAACGCTGGAAGAAGCTACTACTGCAGCCGGAGCGATGATGGCGGCAGCGGTGGCGGTCTGTTGGCTTGGCAAACATGTCTGCAGAGTGAGAGAGAGAGAGAGAGAGAGAGGAAAGCGAGCGTTGTCAGGCGGGCAGGAAATTACGTCCGCCTTTAGCCGTTCTACTGCACGAACGTGTGTATATATACGATAGCGTACAAGCTGGAAGCTCGTCGACGGCCGGGCTTCGGAGCAGCGGCAGCAGCTAAAGCTCGCTCTCCCCGCCCGGCGCTACAGCAGCTAGTCGCCCGCATGCGCGCGTCGAGCCGAGCTTGCAGCTCGTTCGTAGCCGCGAGAGTATCGAACCAGCCTGGCGCCAACTGTATCTAGCGTATAGAACACGACGACGACGACGAGCTTCTCTAGGCTGCCTCGCGATACTTGAAAAACTGTCAGCTGACTCATTCGCAGCTCCTAGACGATATAATACGATCGAGAAAAAAAAAAGAGAGACTCGATGGCATAATCCCTGCGGCATCGAGCCACTCGACGATCGCTGCGAGCCGCTCCGTTATGTATTATATTGCTTTTTGCGCCCGAGTCTAGACGCACGACGCACAAAACGCACTCGATTATCCAAATACGTGTGTGTGCGACTATAATCGTCGAGCTATTGCGAGTCTGTTTTTCTTTCTCGCCCGCCAACTTATATCCTGGCTATGGTGTAAGTACGCTCGCATTGTCTTGTCACTGGCACTGCTGATTTTGTCGGAAAACTACTCGTCGATGATTTTCTCCGAGCCGATATATATTCCCAACGTTATTACGTGTAGCATCGCCTTTTCCTCTCTCTCTTATTCGATGAGCCCTGGATGTATATACGTATACGCGCGCGCTGGGCTCTGATTGATGTTGCCCATGTTTGACTAGAGGGTCGTGCGCTGCCCCAGAGCAGCAGTCCTCGAGTAGCGGCAGCATCGGCCCCATCAATGAGCACCGACGCCCACTTATACACATTTATCCGTACTCTCTCTCTCACAGAGACTCACCCGCACACACACACACACACACACACACACACACACACACACACACACACACACATGAACGCATATAATACACGTACACCGACGCAGGCAGAGATCTGCGCGTATATTGAAAGCTTGTGTGCGGGAGAGCCGAGAAACTTGACGTCGTGTTTGCCAAGTTATAGGCATTACACACAACGAGGCCTCGACCCCGACTCAACGTCGCGACTGAGCGAGCGAGCGAGCCAACGATGAATATTGTTTTCTTCGATCGATAGCTGTCGATGCTATAGAACCGACGTACTATACGTATCGGTACTACTCGCCCTGGTCTTTGACGAAGGCGCACCTATATCTTGTCGACGCGTCGCGCTCCTCGTTCATCATCCGACTTGTCTATTGCACGCGTCCATCTAGCGCAAAGTAGATGCGCATAAACAAATTATAATACGCGTACTTGCTGGAGACTCGAGCTTTTCATCTTTTTTTTTCTTCGTTCCTTGTACATTTTTTTGTTCTTGCGCACCGATCCTCTCTTGATACGTTTTAATTTGCGTAGGCAGTCGTGCGTAGCCGCGTGCTGCTGGTAAAGCGCGCCAATAATTATTATCGATCAGCGGCAGAGTCGGTGCTGTATGTGCAACTCTGTTTGCTCGCGAGTTTGGAATTTCGACGTCAAAGAAGGCAGGCATGAATTATTCATCGGCCGGTAGCACCAGCAGCAACGCTGACTGCATTTACTTGCTTCTCTCTCTCTCTCGCTCTCCCTCTCTGCGAATGTGTGTAGCGCGTTGTATAGACGCGAATACATGTATATATATATATATGTGCTATATCTAAATATAGGCGTACGTACCGCGACACCGTCAACACGTTGCATATATATAGGCAGTGGCGTTTCTGCCTCGTGAATATATACGGCGCTTCGCTAATTGAAAGCAGCTCTCGAGCTCTCGCTGCTCTAGCTACGCACCGCTCTACAGTTATATACAGCATTGGTCGTGCTAATTAGACTCTAATTATTATTTATTGCCCGCCGTGTACAGGCTGCAGCCTGCGCCAGTTTATACCTTTGCTACTGTACTCTCTGTCCCTCCCTCTGCCCGCTTTCTCTCTGCTGCAAAATTCAAACGCAGCTTTTCGCTATGGGCAGCGCAGCTTTTTTGGACCTCGCCGACTGCCTGTTCAAATACTAAATACAATATTTCAGTTGGAAATTAATTAGAGATGAAACGAACGAGGGCTGCAAGCGATAGAGAGAAAGAGCGAGAGCCGACTGGGCCTTGGGCCGATCGACGAGTCAAGAGGGTGTGTGCGATGCGGCTGCGGCTGCGCCTCCTCTCCTCGACGTGTCTTCCTCCCTCCCTCGCCGACTGCTCTAGGTATTAGTAACCCATGTAGGTTGCCGCTGCAGCGCATCTACGTGTGTGTGTGTGTGTGTGTGGGGCGGACTACACTTAGTGCCGGGACTACGACGCGGAGCGTGCGCGACGTCGACGACGACGAGGTGCAGGGGTACCAACGGGGCGCTCGCAAATATTGGTGTTTGCCAAAGACTATCCTCCACGATCCGTGTCGTCTCTCTTTCTCTTTCTCTCTTTCGTCGAGGTTACCCAATGCACTTGCACTTGATATTTACTGTGTATAAAAGCTCATTCGACGCGGTCACCTGCTGCTACCGCTGTTCTCTGTTGAGCAAAAAAGAAAAAAAACGAGAGAGAAAAGAAGAAGAGGAGAATCAATCCACTCGAGAATCTGCTCATATTTTACGCTCGGTCGAACAAGTATCAAAGCTATATACTGCAGTGCGAATAAAGAGAGACACAGCTAGGAGAAAGCGAAAGCTTTTCCAAAAAATCAAGCCGCCGCCACCGCAGCGATCGAGTGCCATACGCGATTGCCCCCTTAACCCGGCTTCTCTCTTTCTCTCTCGCTTTATTTCGCCTCCTGTGCAGCCTGACTCGCTCTCGCTTGCCTTTTTGTCTCTCTTTCTTTCCGTCTGACTCGCTGCACTGTCTACTCGATGCTTTTCAAGCCTCTTTTCTTCCTTTTTTTTTTCTCTCTCTCTCTCCGCGATTTCTCTTTTATTTTTCATTTGCCATCCACGGATATATAGGCTGCCCCGATCTGCGTTTTTCACTGCAGCTTTTACTTGGCTTTACTTATCTCCATTTACCTCCTCTCTAACTGCCCGAATCTGTCTTTGTTTCTCCATTTGCTCTCTTTCCCAACACCTTTTTACCTTAAGTAAATGGGAAGTCTCGGTTACCGTGACCAAATACATAATGTACGCGTTGTAGTTCCTTTTAAATGTACAAAAATCTGACAGCTTAAGGCAGAAACGCTCGAGTGTTTCCTTTACTCTAGGCATGTACAATAAGGAAAATAGTTTCAGCTCGAAGTAAATCGATTTTTAACCACGCCACATGCACAAGCAGCAGCTCCATAAAGTAGCCTTCCACGTCCGTGCTCGGGAGAAGCATAAAGGAGCAGGTCCTATTGAAGCCAGCAACGGCCTGCGTACATGAGTAAATGGACTGTGAATAATAACATATTGTGACGTGTACATTACACGCCTTGTCCTTTTCGCTATTCCAAACTCAAGGTGAACGTAGACCTATACTTACACACGTTAACTGAATTGAATCAAGCGATCGATCGATTGTAATTTGTAGCCTACGTGCGACACATAATGTTATTGGCTTTTTTTTAAGAATTCCGCGAAATCTAAAGCGACAAATTATTTTTTATCAGACGAATTAATAATCTAAGAGCAGTACAATAAAAGGCAATGAAGAAATATGATTAACGCGATTTCGACTCTTTTGAGATCGCGAAAAGATGAGGTGATGTTTGTTTTGTTCAACTTACATTCTAATCGCTCGTCTTGAGAGATTAGATTAGGTAGGCCCCAAGTTTTTCGAATAATGGTCGAATTTTCGAATCGATCGATGATAATGGATGCAAAAGTCAGCAGCTTTTCCGAGTCTGGCGCTGTGTCGCGCTTTGAAAACAATTGAGCTTTGTTTTTCATCTCTCTTGAATATAGCCGGCTTAATTAACACGCGCGCGCTCGACTCGCTGATAAGTTTAAATTTACAATACATGTATGCGCGTGGTATTTACACAAGCCGAGAAACAGTCGTATAGGTTATTTTTGAGTAAAAAAGTAATAACAAAATTTAGATCGCGCGTGTCGAGACCTCTGGCTGCGCGCCCGGAACGAGCCGAGGTGTGCCTGCGTTGATAATTCGTTGCGTCGAAGCGACGCCAGCAAGATCATGTGCTCGCGTACGGACGAGGAAAAAAAAGTCGACGCAGCCGACGTTGATCGAGGCTTCTCGCTCACTCAAATAATCGAGCAGCTGAGCCAGATGTACGGCATCCAGCCGAGCAAAGGCTTCAAGAGGCAAGTGGTCGCTGCCCTGCGTCGCGGCGTCGATTACGGTATTCTCGTGAAAGCCAAGAGCAGATACAGGTGTGCGCTCGCTTCGTATTTGTAAACGTAGAACTAGCCGACGACGAGGAGAGATGTGACGAGGATTTACCCCAGGTACGATCCGGAGCTGTCGCTGCTGAACTCCCTGAGAAAACGAGCAAGGGGTCGACGAGGGCCGGCGATGACTGCGACGAGCCGTCGCAAGAGGCCCGCCCCGAGCAAACAGTACTCGCCGCGAGAGCCGGATCACGAGCGCGGCGACAGTCCGGACGAAACGAAACCTCGAGTACAGCCGAGCGTGCCGAGACCGACGGTGCCACCACCGCCCGATTTTCAACAGAAGCCGCGAAATTTGAGCAGCGAGCCGCTGACTCGTGTCATCAAGCATCAGCGCACGCCGCAGCGGAAATATTGATCGAGCCTCGTCCTTGCGTCGGCCTCGTTCGCTCGTGTCGAGAGTAAGTCGCTTCTTCTTTTCCGGGACTAAGCAGCGAGATCTAAGAGATACTCGCCGACAACGAAAAGCCTTAACGCGATTTCAAAATCGTGAAATAAAAATAAAAATAGAGCTCGCAGCGAGTAGGAATGAGAAGGAAGAAGGAAACGCCTAAGCCACCACAATAGCCGACCGCGAAAATAGGCTTATTGGCCTGGCGCGTTGGGATTTTTAATCGAAAAGACAAGCTATGCGCTCGGGTGCAATTGCTGCTGGCCGCGATAATCCAGAGCATCCGGTGGCTCTCTCACATACGCACATCCATTCTGCGCGTAAAAAACGTATATTAGTCTGGCGGAGCAAGCACCTGTTATCGCGTTGGCGCAGAGATTTTTCGTCTGCTACTGCATTCCCACAGTCTGGCTGTTGAATAAACATTTGGGAAAGAGGCATCATCCTCCTTCTCTCTCTCTCTCTCTCTCTATATATATCTCAGCTCCAACCCGTACCCATCGAGTGGTTTTTGTTATTCTTTCTCAATAAGCGCTGAATCATCGATGTATAGTAACCCAAGTATGCAACACTCGCACACATTAGGCACATGTCCGCACGTATATTACGCATTATGTATAGGTGTAGGAAAAAAAGAAAGGAGTATACAGAGAGTAGTAGTAGTAGAGTATATAGGCTAGTGGACGTCATATAGCATCGAGTGGAAAGATAAAGAGGTGTCGATTGTCGATCGTTAGCCAGGCCGCATGAATATTTCAAATTGAAATTGAGCCAGGCGCGCGCGCGCATTGTGTCGCCGCGTATATGCGGTTCATTTTTCTGAGTGGCATACAATGGCTCGATGTGGTCGTTGCTGTTGTTGTTGTTGTTATTGCTCGCTCTCTCTTCCTCTATGCGTCCCATGCTCTCGATCCTTACGGCGGCCCATTGTTATCGCAATAATGTGTAGTCTCCCCCTCGGTGACGCGGCGCCCGCGCGGGGTTGTAAAATCATAATAGTGGCACAGAGAGCAGGACGCCGCTGCGCATATACTCGTTAGCTAATCAACCGGCTCGTGTCCACTTCCTTCCTTTTCATATTACGCACATCGGAGCTCGGAGCTCGTAGATTCACAGAGCTCGGGGCCGCTTATCGATACCTTTGCAGCCGTCGTACCTGCGACGGCCAGCTTTTCCGCAATTGCCGCTTGTGGGTGTTTTTGGCGCGTGCCGTTGCCGCGTGCCTCGCTCGATACGTAGGTACGAATGCACGTGTGCCAGCCACACCAACAAACTCACACGCACGCGTTTAGGTGCGCACTCGTGTGACATCGATCATCGATCATCTTCGTCGCTCCTACTTATACGCAATCTTCATCGACGTCGTTGTTTACGCGGTCACTGTACGACGACGCGTGCCGGCCCGGACTGTGTGAAGCGCAGCGATAAGCCCACTATCATCGCACTCTCGATCTTTATCTCGATACAAAATTCAAATTTCACTCGATGGATCGCCTCTAAATAGACCAAGTATCGCTGCGACACGATTACTCGACCATCGCGCGGCTCTTCTGTAGTGTATTAAATAAACGACGATGAGTACGTGCCTGCCGGCCGATTCGTAGGCTCATCAAGACTTTCCGTAAGCCCGCGCGATTCTCCCACTCCGAAGGAGCCCTCGCACGATATCGCTTATCGCCTCGCGCGCACCGCCGTCTATTGCACTTCTTTTTTTTTTTACTATGTTTATGTGTGCTTTTGGTATAATAGAGTATGGGTCCTCGTGCACTAGCTAGCTTCGACGAGGAGCCTCGGCTCGAAAAACAAACCAATTTGAGATGTTTCGCTGCTGCTCAGCGAGAGCTGATTTCCTCAGGGAGTACCTTTTGGCCTTTAATCATACGAGATTGACGCGCTGTTGGTCTTTCGCGATCCTCGTCGTCCTCGTCGTCGTCGTCGTCGTGCACAGATGTTGCGCTTAAACTCTTGACTCGTCGGCTAAATGTAATATGTTAGGTCGCGGGGGCACTTGTCTCTGTTTCTCTCTCAAATGTGCAGGCGTCCATTGGCGTTTATTGTTCATCGTCGAGAGGCGCACAGCCAAGTCTTTGGGCCATTGTTCATTTAGAGAGGTTGATCCTGGCTCAAAGCGCGTCAGCGGCAGTGTAGAGTAGTAGTGGCAGCAGCAGCAGCAGCAGCTCGATTTTCTCGCGTAACCCGTGGCGACGCGCCTACTTCAGCCGGGAATCTTCGAGGGAAGAAGAGGCAGCAGACTCGTGCAAGGCCAGGAGAGGGAAGCAGCTTCAGCCGCGGGAGTACCTATTCGCATGCGCGTTGAGCTCTTGTCTTCTCTCGAGTCTCGTAGCAGCTTGTCTTTGCTCAAATCATATTATACGTACTCCAGGAGGAGCTCTCAGCCTCTGACACGTATGCGCGCACATGTGTGAAACGAGCAGCTCGACGCAGTCCATACACATATGCGATCGTTCGTTTGACAATTGGGTCCGCGAGGCCAGTCGACGAATCGCTTTCGACGCGTTGCACACATTGCAGCGCACATTCGCTATATAATATGCTCGCCGAATAATATAGCGCCGTCAAACGAGAATATCTATAAAGCGTAAAGGTGCGCTCGACTATCGACGCGTGCGTGTGCGTATATAGTACGCGTGTGCATCGTTGTTTGCATAAGACCGTTGGCAGACGAGCATACGCGCGCGCACACACACATACACCAACGGACTATTGGGGTGAAATTTGAAAGACCAAACAACGAGAGACAGAAAGAGAGATAATGTTCTGAGCGGTAGGCTTGTGTACACTCAGCTGCTCGAGGAGCTATAATAATGCATATATATGGAGCAACGATCTCGCTCCTCTCCTTTTTTTTTATTTTATTTTATTTTATTATTTTTTGTTTTGTTTTGTTCTGTTGGCTCGCCTCGCCTCGCTTCGCAATCGATGTACATTACCGCTCGTGCCTGTATATATTTATGTATTTCAGCGATCGAGCGAGTTTTTAAGGGATGGAATGAGAAAAAGAGTGGATCTCTTTTTGGCGAACGATACTGCGTGCGTTGCTGCTGCTGCTGCTGCTATTGCTGCTGCCATAGAGTCAGCCCGAGAAAATCCCAGCTGCAAAGAGAGAGAGAGAAAGAGTACATAAAATGTCTATGTATATATCTATACATCCAAAGACTCCTTAGCAGCGAACGCAGCCCCGTTGCTGGTTGGTCGGTCAAGACTCCGCCTCTCTAGCTGCTTTCTCGCTCTCTCTCTCGCTCTCTCGTTTGCTTGCTCTCTTCCTTTGCGCTGCTGCTGCTCGAACGTATATGTATTTAGAGAATATGCTCGCAAGTATATGTGCTTTAAGCTTCGCTTTATTATATAAGAGCACATCCCATATAGTCTTTGATAATTTGTTAATGTATATATACTTGCTGGCATATGAATGTGCAGCACACACACATTTCCTCGCTAAATTGTGTATCGAAAGATTACCGGCACATTTGCGCGCATTTATATGCATTTAAATATTTGGATTTGACGCGCGATCGTTGGCCGTCGCTGCATGGATGATGCAGTGAACGAGACAATTCGATAATGGAGCATCGTTGCGACGCCGCGTTAATGTTATGAAAAAAATTAGTCGCTGTATACACACACTAGTAGCTGCGTATGTGTGCTCGGGCACCTGTAAAGCTCACTCTTACATACGTGCATACACACTTTGGAGAAAAATACACAGATTAATCGGATAATACGTGGGTATATAGATGTAGCTTTCGCGAGCTTGTATTGCTGTGGGGGTTGACTGCAAACGTATCTATGTACATCTCTCTCTCTCTCTCGTATGTATATTTATTTGTCTGAGAGTATATGTACATCGTAGCAGTTGAACATATATACTCTCTTGAGTATGTGCGTATACACACACATACGTGTGGTTATACGCGAGTACATATTATATATATAGACATTGTGTGCATGTGTCTGTGAGCAATTGTCAAGCTAAAATAGCCTCGTATAAACATGCTCTTCGTCGGAGAGTCTCGTTCGTTGAGTCGCGTTCGCGCCGGCGCAAGTTTCCCCAATCTGCATCGAACGCTCACGACGACGACGACGACGACGACGACGACGAGGCGCTGCTATACTGGCTGCTGCAATGTGCATATTTGTGCCTGGCAAACCTTATTGGAATTGATGCTTTTGGTAAACAGTAGCGAGCACAAGTTGCGGAGAATCGTCCATCGGCGTTGACTGACTGACTTACTTTGGCGCATTGTTTTCGCGCCCATGTTACTCTTTCGTATTGCCACTTGGGATGTGTGCGATCGATGCCACGCACGCCCCGTGATAAAATCGAGCCTCGATTATTTTTACAAGCTCTTGGAGCATGGCTCAATCGAATGAAACAATTAGTAGATCGTATCGCACATGTGTAAGCCTTTGACGCGTATAGTCGCGCTGCGATCCGTATCGTGCTCACTATGTAGTGGATTTTCGATAAAAATCAGCCGAGCCAATTGTTATACGCGCCGCTCGAGAGCTTGTGTGTTCGATAAGTTTATATACTTGTACGTCTAAGCTTCCGAATGTTCGGGCACATTATCGAGTATACGCAAGCATCGGATCGAAATTACACCGCTTAAGTAAACACAGCCGGCTCGAATCTTAATCGTCGTAATTTTGGCTAATTTGAAAATTCGATCAAAAAAATTTCATTTCAAGTTTTTGTGCGCGTGTATATTTATATATTAAAGAGAGCACGAAGGAAAGTTGAAGCTACTGGCGCTGCCGCCTGCATGCCTCAGGGATCTAATTATCATGGAGGAAAGTTGAGAAATTAATAAAAGTTGCTCTGGGCTTGGTAAATTTACCCAGAAGCATCAGCAGTAGTATTAGTAGTAGTAGTAGTAGTAGTGGTAATAGTAGTAGTAGTAGTAGCACAAAGTACGTAGCAAACTTGTCGGGAATAAAGGGCCGAT